AACTAAGAGCCCCATTATGGCCTAACACTGGAGTGGTCCACGTCACTGTAAATAGTACACAGGAAATCACTACATTAGGGAAGAAACAGCTAGATTTAACTGTACAATAAAGATTAATCTTTGCACCAAGGAATACCTTTCCAATAATTGAGAGAAATAGCAAATGTCAGGAAGACAAATAAAACATTAAGAGGTAACACTTGATTCAGCCAAACTTCAGACTGAAGTTATCCGCAAATGCTCCAGAACATATCATCATTCAGAAAAAAACCACAAACAAACAAAAAAAACCCAACAAACAAAAACACCTTACTCAGTTTGCTGATTGTGTATCTTTCTGCCAAAATAGCCATTATTCCATTGCATTCTTCAAGTAGTCCTTAAAAAAGTTTGCAAATACTGCCCTGGATTTGGTGAAAAAACCACCTGGCTTTGCTAGTACATGGTGGGAGGGAAAAAATGTCCCTGTAACCTAAAGATATTCTGACCTCCTAGATGAAAAATAGTGTGAGAGCAATGACCAGTTCCCAAAATGTTGACATATTACAACACATCATTAAGGAAAATGAGAACAGCACGCAAGAGAACATTTTGAACTGCAAAAGCAGCGATTCATTCATCAGAGTTTGGGGATAATTGATGTCATTGCACAAGGCTGAAACACTGCATATGAATCTGACTACCCACGTTCAAGAAACACTGGAACAAGACTTGAGAAGAGGGACCATAGCAACAGAGAGCTTGTAACAGGAAACTAAAGAAAGCTGGTTTGTGCAGTCTAGTAAACAAAGGTGGAGAAGGGACTGCTGCCTATAAATAGGTCAGGGCGGTAAACATCAGCAAAGAGTGCTATTTCAGATAGAAAGCATTTCTGGAACGGGAATAAACGGATGAGAACTCACTGTGAATAAATTTAGATCAGAAATCAGAAGAAGCTATCAAACTGTTAGGCCTGGCATGCCAGTGGACTGGAGAGTCAAGAGGGAAACCCACATACTTCAAGATGGACATTGGTCAGCTGATGACATTAAGTAGGCTTGTGACAGCAGGAGATTGACTTAGTGACCAGGGAGGATATTTATTTTTTTTTTTTTAAGACTTGTATGTTCCTAATAGCTGACTACTTGCACATCTTTCTTCCAGACCAAGGATTGATCCTCCCCGCTGGTCTCCTAGACTGCTGAAGCAATGAAAACCTCCTATTTCCTCTCCAGGGACCAAGGAAGTACTTTTAGAGAAGGAAACGTACTCACAACACACAGCTTCTCACACTCTTCCACTTCCACAGCAGAGCTGCAAAGAGACCAGCTGGATCACCATGTGCCATGGAATATGGTTCATTCTCATCAGGTAATAGGAAGCAGCAGAGAAGGGGCACAGAAGATCAGTGACAAACACTATCGTGCTCTACCCTCTGCAGCACTAGAATTGTAGAACTATTAGTTATGTTAGATGGTGTATTCCAGCTGCACACTGCATCAGCTTACACTTTTTAAGAAAGGAGAAGGGAACAGTTAATACCACCAAGTGATTATTCCCAGTATGTGTGGATCCTCATTTCTGAATGAGAGCCTACGCTGTATTTTGTAAGCAGGTGGGAATGTTCTCTCCCTGCACTTCGGGCAGACCAAAGGCCAGTCAATGCAGACACCAAAACACCAGCAAGCACTGCTACAAGCCTGCGGATAGCTGGTGCCACTAGCTTAGCACGGAGCTGGGTTAATGTGGTCCCAGTGGGCCTGGACAGCTTCTGGTACATTTATCAGCACAATCAAGCGGTCTTTAGTTTCCCCACTTCATCCCAGTATTGGCCTGCAGTGCTAGCCTTGGCAAGATGACTTGAACAACCATATTCTCTCACCTTCCTTGGCCTTCACTACGGACAGTCTGGCTGTCATCTCTTGGGAAGGAAGGGGGAGAAGAGGGTGGGAGGTGAAATTGAAAACAGACAGTAAGCTATTTGGGAGAGCTCCCCACCTGTAACACTTCCTCTGGCAGAAGGCACTATAACCCTTCACAACACGAAGAACAAAGCTTTTTCCTTTCTTCTGCACTTTCAGAATGTCACTGACAACAGCATTGCAGTAGTAACATGTATTGAACATAACCAGTAGTGATTATTAGTATTGCCTTCATTAAACTCTTTCCATTGCGACACCGCATGACATACCCATCTGTTACTGCAACAGAAGAGATAATGAAGAGCAGGAGCAACAGCTTTTCCTTCTGTAATCTGAAAGGACTCTCTTCCATGGACATAATATGTTCCTGAATGTCTCTTACCCTAATGTACCGTGCCATAAACCTGATGTCAGCAGAGAAGTACATAAACTGTTAGAAGAATGTTAAAGGGGCAGGCACTAAATTACCATCGATGACCTCATGCCAGACTTAAATGGAAGGAGCATGTAAACCCTTCCATTAACATGTTCCTAACAGATGGTTCAGAGATACTTTGTTGGGAGAACCAGTAGAGCTTTCCCAAAAGATGGAAGTTAATACATACTGCCTTTTACCATATGGGCCTTAAACACGAATTTAAAGTTAAACCACCGTGTCACTCAGACAGATGGTGAGGGGAAATACAGCTTATTTCAAGAGGCACCTTATGGTAATCAATACTAGTGTTCTAATAACTACATTAGATTTCAGATTTTTATATTACATGCTTATACTTTAAACCATTTCCTCTCTTAAGAGCTCACACTGAGGCTGTGTGCCTATCAAATATAGAAAATACTGGGCAAATATTAAAACATCCCACAAGTCTTGAGAAGTATTTTGTTTGTAGTATTTTCTATGTAGCTGCAGAGTTACTTTTTCAATATCCCAAATAAACTTTTATTAGAAGCCCATCTTTCATGTAACATACCTCAAACTAGAAACACAAGAACTATCACTTAGCCTTGCCAGAATATGTGTGTCTGTATATTTATCTATGCACATCTTCCACCTGCTTCCTTACATAGTTACCAAATGCTTACTGACCCATTTTCTTAGAAATGCTTACAAACTCATCTCTGGTTTTGATACAACAAAGCTTTGTTAGTTTTGTCCTAACTGTTCAGTAAAACACCAACACAACTCTTTGAACTTGCAAAGCATACCCCATCGAGGTTCTCCAAGTTTAGATGTACTTAATGGATGTCCTTTGAAGTATTAGTTACAACAGGTTATTCCACTTCTTCAACTGAAGTGACTCCCATATGGTAAACAGAGGCTGGGAAGATGAGGAAGGCAGTGCTTTGTACTGCACCCAGGAGGACCTCTACTGGTTGCCTTCCTTGGTTGGCCAGGGTTACTCCAAACTAGATCTGGTGTGTTCTGCACACGAGAGTTACCACAGCAGAAACCTACACCATGGAGAAGTTTCCTGGCATCACAGGATATTGGCACAGAGCTGAGATTGAAGCTTTACACTCTTTTTGCTTAAAAGACATGGGTTTTTTCTTCACTGAAGTCAAGATTGAAGCTTCTTTGAGTTAAGCTTTATATCAAGATCTAAATTGTTAGATAGCTGGTTAGCGGCTGCCACCCCACACCCAGCCTGGTGGTTCTTCAGGTTATGTGAACCTCTATCCCCAACAAGAGAGTATCAGCCTACACTAGCTTTCATCTTCATCCTGAAGTTCATGAAGTGTGAAACGCTGCATTTCAATGATCTATGATAAGTTTCCTGAACTTTTCTGGACCCCTGATAGGGTCCAGAAGAGCTCTGCAGCAGAACTATTCTTTGGGTTTGGTCTTGAGAGGAATTCAGCAACAAACAGCCTGCAGATGAGCTCATTTTACCTTAACCCTACCAGCCCCGTAAGTGTGAAAATTTCAGGGCAAAAGAAACAAAGAAATAAGGAATCTTCAATAAAGAAATAAGCAGCCACTCTCAACTAAACAGATTATTTTTTTCCAAGGATGCTTAACTGCATTTATACCCGTTTCATCCCACTGGAGTTCAGACTAAGGCAAGAAAACCAGTGTTCACAAACACCATTGCCTCACCACCTAGGTGCGGCAAAATCTCTTCGGTGTCTGTTGTGTTCTTTACCTACTACTGCTTCGCAGCACAAAGCAAATTTTGTGCTCCTCTCTCACTGCCTGACAAATGCCAGCTGCTTCTGGGCAGTGGGCATTCCCCAAGGGATAGATTTACCCCTGAGCCCCACCACAGAAGTGCCAGTGGGAAAATCTGGCATCTCATACCCCACGTTACTCACATCCTTTGGACAAATCCCCCTTTGCTGTCAAAATATAGACACAAGAATGGGCATTTTTATACCCTCCTCTTTGCTAGTCACAGCCCAGTAGCAACATCCCAGGGGTAACAGCAATAAAAAAAAATAAGCAATTATTTACATACTCCAGCTATCACCTACACACCTATGTAACTGGCGGGCGTCCTAAGGAAAGCTCTCCTGCTGCCAGTTCAGGTTGTAGCCACATGCACTATGACACAACTGCAGTCACAAATACTTATTTACCTAAAAATGTACTGGCTGCTGACCAGGCTCGAGCACCCCACAGTGGATGTGCTCTGGAGACCAGAAATCAGTTTACCAGCATAAGAGTGCTGTCTCCCAGCTAGTTAAAAATCACAGCTGGGGTCAAGCTAGGTTTAATTATGCACTGTAGAAATAACACCTCAGTAAACATCTTCCTCTCTACAACTGGAAACTGCTGCTCTCCTCTCCCCACCAGAAGCACACCAGGAATGTAACCCCCACACACACCTGTTCCAACAGGCACACAGAAAGCAAACCCTGTCTTACAAACGGAGATGAAAGCGATGCTTTTACTGAGCAGCAGCTCCCTAAGGCACACGAAGGTATAGCTCAACAGGAAGGCCTGAGGTTGCTCTGCGGTGGGACCTCACAGCCCAGCTGCCAAGGGTGGACCAGGTCACTCCAGGGACACAGCACACCCTTCCCCAGGACGGGAGCAGAACCAAATCCCCATGCCACCCCCTTCTCGATAGAGAGCGAGCAGAGGAACACTCCTCCTACCTGAACTCGGGGAGGAGGTTTGGCCGCAGCCCATAGAAAGCCGCCGAGAGAGTCACTAGCCAGCCGGGTTTGTAATTCCCATTCTCGCACTCCAGGTAAGGCGAGGACCACCTGATGTGGTTCTTATCAGCAGTGAAGCTCTCCCGCCTCTTCCAGCTGTTCTCCAAAGTTTTGGGGCCCGTGTTTAAGACCTTCCTGTGCAGATGTGGCCTCCACTTGCGCTTCAAGCTGTGGAACCACTCTGTTTCCACAGAGGCGTTGGCCAGGCGGTGAGCCGAGGAGGACAAGTCCTGCAGGAGGACCTGGCTCTCGTGTCTGCTGGCCTGGAGGAAAACCTGGGGGGTGGAGGAGAAGGGCTCCGTGCTGAAAGTGATAGCTGCCCTGGAGATGTTGGGGTCTCCCTCCAGGAGGCTCCTGATCAAGGCGCGGTACCACTCCAGGTCCTCCTGCAAGTTCTGCTCCCGCGACTTATTGCTCTGGAGGATCATGTTGAGGAAGTTGGTGGCGTGGGTGAGGGTGTCCAGGGCCCCGTGCAGGGAGGGGTGCGAGGTGAAGCGCGACTTGCCGGCCAGGCTGGCCAGCTCGTACCGCCCGGAGCAGTTGGCGCGCCGCAGCTCCCGGGAGTCGCCCGTGTAGAGGAACGAGGCCACGTCCTGGGGCACCTCCTCGGCGAGC